TTATTATACCCCCGTTTACGAAGTAAATCTGGGGTATATAGCGTTCTGTCCATTCTTCCATCCGTCCTTCCATCCGTCCTTCCGTCCGAGCTTTTGTACGGCCCATAACTTTTTAACCATGCACCCTAGCCTCACCAAACTTGCTACACACATTTACCACAATGAGTACTTGTGCCTTTTGCTAGTTTGAAGATTCTGAATCTTTTTATTTTTGCTGTTTCCATGGAATCATGGTGAAGCATAATTTTTGGGTAGAGTTTTTGTACCATCCATGTTTACAATGTTATATATCCTAGCTTCAGCAAACTTGCTACATTAACCACTATGATTGTTTTTTATCTTTTATAAGATTCTGAAAGTTTTCTCTTTTGCTGTTTTCATGGAAACATTATGGAATTTAGAAATTTTGATGACTGGTTTTGTATAGCTAATATATTTTCCAAAATTGTTTCCACCCATGTAGATCATCATAAGTATCTGTGCTTTGTGTTAGTTTGAATTTATGAATTCTTTACCATATCTGTTAAGGCTAGATGGAAATTATTATTTTATTGATTTTCTTATATGATATTGTTCCATTTTTTGTGTGTTTTTATATCAACAATTTTTGGTCCTTCTGATAATTCTTCTTATGTAACTCCTCTATCAAATTTTTATTCAAAGGTGTTCATGGTGATCTACTTCCTCGTAGTGAACACTGGTAACATGGGAGATTGAGGGGGGGGGGGGGGGGGGGAGGGGGAACTCAATCTTAGTTTTTAAATCATTGAAGTTAAAATCAGTTAGAAATATGTAATATTTCATTAATTAACAAATTATTTACTATTTGTTGTTGACCAGCGGGGATAACGGGGGTATGTCAGAATATTATTTTGGGGAAAAAAACAGAGTTGAAAGATAAGTTTTGTGGTTTATGCTGACAGCCTGAAATGTTTATGTACGACAGATATATTTTTCCAGAATTTAATTGCCCATAATTAAGGGTGCATATAACACACGAGTGTGTATTATACGCGAATAAATAAGTCTTGTGTACATTGATCAATTGGAAGGGGTGCTAACTGGGATTGTTCACTAGCCAATATATTAGTTGCAGTGGGTGCTTATTATGTCGAATAAGCTACAGAATATAGAATCTCTGTACTCGAGTTAAGTATTGAATGCTAACAATACAATAATACACAAAGAAAATTAAGAAATTGTGATTGTTACCTTAATGTTAGAAATTGTCATTAATTAGAAGATGCGTATCATTTTGTACTTGTCTGTTCTATGTATGTTAATAATTATCATAAATCATACGTTAAAAAATGTTATTGGCTTAGACCAATTGTAGTCCAAGCAGTGTTTCAAAGTAAATGTAGGGCAGTTTTAGTAAATGTGGGGTAGTTTTAGTAAATGTGGGATAGTTTTAGTAAATGTGGGTTAGTTTTAGTACAGGTAGGGTAGTTTTAGTAAATGTGGGGTAGTTTTAGTACAGGTAGGGTAGTTTTAGTAAATGTGGGGTAGTTTTAGTACAGGTAGGGTAGTTTTAGTAAATGTGGGGTAGTTTTAGTAAATGTGGGGTAGTTTTAGTACAGGTAGGGTAGTTTTAGTAAATGTGGGGTAGCTTTAGTGTATGAGAAACCATGTCTCCTGGAGATTACTAGAGATTGTAAACCCTCACATGAGGGAACGTCCCGGGACGAGGAGACATGGTTTGTCCAACTTATAAACCGACTCATCGCATAGACAACGTTTTTAATGAAATAACTGTAATAAAAACTCTCAAATGTATAACCTGTATCGGAGATGAAATATCGCCTGCAGTCGTGAACTCGGTTCAGTGAAACCGTTGACCTCAGCACGTGGGTTTCGCAACGGTGCGAAATCTGCACGTGCGTCTCGCAATGGCATGAAATCTGCACGTGCGTCTCGTAGGCTGAGTCTATTACACGTTTTGCTTTGACTGACGCTCATTCATTGTACAGCCTGTTGCTGGCGTACGGATCTTGAAAAGGACATTCTAAAAAGCAGTGCGGCCTATCAACACCTCTGTAGCCTTGTGGTACAGTCACTGGGCTACAGATATGAAGGTTGTGAGTTCGATCCTCGGGAATATAAAGAAAACATTTGTCATTTGAATTTACATTTCATTACATGTTACAATCTAAACGGAAGTTATAATGATTGTAAGCCCTCCTGCGAGGTGTTACCACAATTTCAAAAACTCCATATCGAGTTACACAAACAGCCAGTAGGTTTATAAGTACAGGTAGGCTAGTTTTAGTAAGTGTGGGGTATATCTAGTAAATGTGGGCTAGTTTTAGTAAATGTGGGGTATTTCTAGTAAATGTGGGGTAGGTTTAGTAAATGTGGGGTAGTTTTAGATAATGTGGGGTAGGTTTAGTAAAGGTGGGGTAGTTTTAGATAATGTGGGCTAGGTTTAGTAAAGGTGGGGTATTTCTAGTAAATGTGGGGTAGTTTTAGTAAATGTGGGGTAGGTTTAGTAAATGTGGGGTATTTCTAGTAAATGTGGGGTATTTCTAGTAAATGTGGGGTAGTTTTAGTAAATGTGGGGTAGTTTTAGTAAATGTGGGGTATTTCTAGTAAATGTGGGGTATTTCTAGTAAATGTGGGGTAGTTTTAGTAAATGTGGGGTAGTTTTAGTAAGTGTGGGGTATATCTAGTAAATGTGGGGTAGGTTTAGTAAAGGTGGGGTAGTTTTAGATAATGTGGGCTAGGTTTAGTAAAGGTGGGGTATTTCTAGTAAATGTGGGGTAGTTTTAGTAAATGTGGGGTAGGTTTAGTAAATGTGGGGTATTTCTAGTAAATGTGGGGTATTTCTAGTAAATGTGGGGTAGTTTTAGTAAATGTGGGGTAGTTTTAGTAAATGTGGGGTATTTCTAGTAAATGTGGGGTATTTCTAGTAAATGTGGGGTAGTTTTAGTAAATGTGGGGTAGTTTTAGTAAGTGTGGGGTATATCTAGTAAATGTGGGGTAGGTTTAGTAAATGTGGGGTAGTTTTAGATAATGTGGGCTAGGTTTAGTAAAGGTGGGGTATTTCTAGTAAATGTGGGGTAGTTTTAGTAAATGTGGGGTAGGTTTAGTAAATGTGGGGTATTTCTAGTAAATGTGGGGTATTTCTAGTAAATGTGGGGTAGTTTTAGTAAATGTGGGGTAGTTTTAGTAAATGTGGGGTATTTCTAGTAAATGTGGGGTAGGTTTAGTAAATGTGGGGTAGTTTTAGATAATGTGGGGTAGGTTTAGTAAATGTGGGGTAGTTTTAGTAGGGGGGGTAGGTTTAGTAGGGGGTGGGGGTAGGGGGGGTAGGTTTAGTAAATGTGGGGTAGTTTTAGTAAATGTGGGGTATTTCTAGTAAATGTGGGGTAGTTTTAGTAAATGTGGGGTAGTTTTAGTAAATGTGGGGTATTTCTAGTAAATGTGGGGTAGGTTTAGTAAATGTGGGGTAGGTTTAGTAGGGGGGGTAGGTTTAGTAAATGTGGGGTAGTTTTAGATAATGTGGGGTAGGTTTAGTAGGGGGGGTAGGTTTAGTAAAGGTGGGGTATTTTTAGTAAATGTGGGGTAGTTTTAGTAAATGTGGGGTATTTCTAGTAAATGTGGGGTAGTTTTAGTAAAGGTGGGGTAGGTTTAGTAAAGGTGGGGTATTTCTAGTAAATGGGGGGTATTTCTAGTAAATGTTGGGTATTTCTAGTAAATGTTTGGTAGTTTTAGTAAAGGTGGGGTAGTTTTAGTACAGGTGGGGTAGTTTTAGTAAAGGTGGGGTATTTCTAGTAAATGTGGGTTATTTTTTAGTAAATGTGGGTATTTCTAGTAAATGTGGGTTAGTTTTAGTAAATGTTTGGTAGTTTTAGTAAATGTTTGGTAGTTTTAGTAAATGTTTGGTAGTTTTAGTAAATGTGGGTTAGTTTTAGTAAATGTCAGGTAGTTTTAGTACATGTAGTGTAGTTTTAGTAAATGTTGGATAGTTTTAGTACAGGTACCAGAGCTCCAGATAAGCTGCATATCTTCGTAAAATACGCATCAGAAATGCAGAAATATGCAGTAAAATAAAATCCAATGATTACAGTTACATCATGATCATTTGCCAGCACACTTTCTTGTGGAAGTATCGTGGTATTTTTGAGTCCTATAAAGCTCTCGAACCCACACGACACCAGTTTGCAGGGACTAGATTACTAGTGTTTTTAAATATTTAACTTAAATACCCACGTGTAAAAACTAGTGGGTAACAGAAATTTGAATACCCAGATAGAATTACTGATACCCAATGATTTTGAAATGCATGGGTAAAATACCCACAACACCAAAAGCTTATCTGGAGCTCTGGGTAGTATGGTTTTAGTAAATATGGGATAGTTTTAGTAAATGTCAGGTAGTTGTAGTACAGGTAGCATCGTTTTAGTAAATGTGGGGTAGTTTTAGTACAGGTAGGATAGTTTTAGTAAATTCTGGGTAGTTTCAGTATATGTGGGATAGTTTCAATACAGGTAGGGTAATTTTAGTAAATGTTGGGTCGTTTAGAGAAGTTAGGTACATACCAGCTGGACTGTACAAATATACGATGTAGTGTGGCTCATTTTTAAATTTAGAAACGATTATTGTGACGAGGGATCACTGAATTGTTCACCTGATGAAGGAGCAAGTCACCCTGACCAGTCGTTACAAACAATAGAGGAGTTGTCATGCCTTCAAGTTCTTCCTACTTCTAAATGCCTATCAAGGACTTGAATAGTCATTGTCATTGTCATGTTAAAGTCCGGGTTAGATGGGTCTTCAGTGAGAGACGACAAACAGGATCGGGTGGCCAGACTCGCTGCCTTGGTTGATGCATGTGATCGCATCCCATGTTGCAAATGAGCAATGTGAACGCCATGACGTTTCTAAAACACTGCAAACTTTTGACATGTCGATTGACAAAAAACAAGAGAGAAGGGTGGGAACAAATCCTATCCAATACCATGTACGTGTGAAGTAATTTCCATTCATCTCTCTTACAGATTGTCACTTGGCTGATCACCATGGGTGTCTCAAAGACTTTTCAGAAAGAATTTCTTGACATCTTCTGGACAACAGGACTGCCAAATCATCAGAGACCACCTTATGGAGTGGCGCTTGTAAGTGTTGGTGAAAACAGAGCTCAGAACACACAAATGTTTAGAAGCTCAAACAAAGACACACACGCTGAGCATCACCTTATTGACTATATATACAACCTGCCAGAAATACAAGATGATGTGACAATGGAAATATTTCAGAACTACAGTCCATGTAAAAAATGTGCCAAACGATATGTTTGGCTTGTGAAGGAATATGAAGCAGTGGGCATCACGCTCCGGCTGCATGTACATTTTGCATCTTTGTACAGAATATGTGACGATGTTGAACACCCGTCTGATTCAGGACATGTTTTGGCAAAGGAAACACACTGGAAAAACATTTCCGGTCTGAAACGAATGGCGTCTGTTGGGATTATACTGAAGGGTTTCACCAAAAGTACATGGACGAAACTTATCGGCATGATTAATGTTCCGCTTAATGAAGACTTTGACAAGCAATATAAACGGCAAAGGAAAGAGAGTGATGCACTCTGTGTAGAAACACTTGGCAAAGTTCTGGGTAAGAGGCCATTTTGACATCTTGAAGTTCTGATTGTTTCATATCTCTCGATTCAGAATCAACATCATGCAAATGTTTTATTTTGTTGTCCATTATGACACCATGTCTCGTTTCTGAATTTCCTTACAACATCATGCAAATGTTTTATTTTGTTGTCCATTATGACACCATGTCTCGTTTCTGAATTTCCTTACAACATCATGCAAATGTTTTATTTTGTTGTCCATTATGACACCATGTCTCATTTCTGAAGTTCCTTACAACATCATGCAAATGATTTATTTTGTTGTCCATAATGACACCATGTCTCATTTCCGAAATTTCCTTACAACATCATGCAAATGTTTAACTGTAGTGTCAAATCTACAATAGCACTACGTTGCAGTTCAGAATTTTCTGACATCATGCAAATGTTTAATTGTGTTGTCTAATCTATAATGGCACTGTGTTGCATTTCAGAATTGCCAGAATACCTCATGTCAGAGGAAGCCAGAGACGGAGGGATCCACAGCAAAAGGCATCATCAGTCCCCATCTAAGCACCATGGTCGAGACGACAAACAACTTCTTTCAGGTAGTTTCCGCGCTCCACACATCCAACATGTAGGCCATCCAGTTCGGGTCCATGGTAGAGACAACCAACCACATGAATCTTCCGTTCATCTCCATGGCGACAAGAAACAATCCCAAGCCCACACACTTCAGTTCCATGGCAATAAGAACCAACCACATGGTCCTTCCGTTCATCTCCATGGTAACAAGAAACAATCCCAAGGTCACACACTTCGGTCACACGGTCCCCCAAGTTGGTTTCTCAGTGCAAGAAAACAATCACAAAGCCCCCAACTTCAGTTCAATCCTGATGTCAGTCACACTCCACTACACGGCCCCCCACTTCAGTTGCCTGGAAGAGACGACCAACCACAAAGCCCCCGAGGTAGGATCCACGTTAGAAACAGACAACCACTAGGCCACACTCTTCCGGTCCATGGTAAAGAAAACAAACCAGGCGGCCACAAACTTCTGATCCATGGTAGAGAAAACAGAGCACGTGGCCACACACTTCAGATTCATAGTAGTCACGATCATCTACATTCCCCCCAACGTTGGTTCTTTGGTGGAAAAAAACAAACACAGGCCGCCCCAGTTCTGTTCCATGGTAGCCACGCCCAACCACAAGAAGCCCCAGTTGATTTCCATGGGAGAAGCATCGAACCCCTTGCTCAGTTACATGTTAGACACAACCAACCTCAAAGTCCTGCAGGTAAGATCCATGTCAGAGACATCCTCCCACTAACCCACACAGATAGGTGTAATGATGGAGGCATCCTACCAAAAGGCACCCCAATACGGATCCATGGGAGACACAATGAACCTCAAAGTCCTGCAGGTAAGATCCATGTCAGAGACACCCTCCCACTAACCCCCCCAGATAGGTGGAATGATGGAGGCATCCTACCAAAAGGCACCCCAATACGGATCCATGGGAGACACAATGAACCTCAAAGTCCTGCAGGTAAGATCCATGTCAGAGACACCCTCCCACTAACCCACACAGATAGGTGGAATGGTAGAGGCATTGAATCACAAAGCCCCCCAGTTCAGTTCCATGGTAGACACAAGCAGCCACAAAGCCCCCATGTTCGGATCTATGATAGAGACAACCAACCACGTGAACCCCCAGTTCGGATCCATGATAGAGACAACCAACCACGTGAACCCCCAGTTCGGATCCATGATAGAGACAACCAACTATGTGAACCCCTAGTTCGGATCCATGATAGAGACAACCAAACACGTGAACCCCTAGTTAAGTTCCATAGTAGAGACAACCAACCAAAAGGCCCTACAATTCGGTTGCATGGAAGAGACAACCAACCAAAAGGCTCCCATGTTGGTTCCGTGGTATAGACGACAAGCCAAAGGCCCCCCAAGTTGAGTTATGCTAGATGCAGCCATACAGTCCCATTGTGTGTGTGTCAGCCTGTCTCGCATACAGTTTGTACTGTTGGAAATGCTACACCCTGTGTTGTATATTGTACACACTATTGTATATAGTACACACTGTATTGTATATAGTACACACTGTATTGTATATAGTACACACTCTATCGTATATAGTACACACTCTATCGTATATAGTACACACTATTGTATATTGTACACACTCTATTGTATATTGTACACCCTGTTGTATATGGTACACACTGTATTGTATATTTTACACTCTGTATTGTATATTGTACACACTGTATTGTATATTGTACACACTATTGTATATAGTACACACTGTATTGTATATAGTACACACTGTATTGTATATTGTACACACTGTATTGTATATTGTACACACTATTGTATATAGTACACACTGTATTGTATATTATACACTCTGTATTGTATATTGTACATGCTATTGTATATAGTACACACTCTATCGTATAGAGTACACAATGTATTGTATATTGTGCACACTGTATTATATATTGTTCACACTTTATTGTATATTGTACACGCTATTGTATATTGTACACACAATTGTATATGGTACACACTGTATTATATATTGTTCACACTTTATTGTATATTGTACACACTATTGTATATAGTACACACTGTATCGTATATAGTACACACTGTATTGTATATAGTACACACTGTATTGTATATTGTACACACTGTATTGTATATTGTACACACTATTGTATATAGTACACACTGTATTGTATATTATACACTCTGTATTGTATATTGTACACGCTATTGTATATAGTACACACTGTATTGTATATTATACACTCTGTATTGTATATTGTACATGCTATTGTATATAGTACACACTCTATCGTATAGAGTACACAATGTATTGTATATTGTGCACACTGTATTATATATTGTTCACACTTTATTGTATATTGTACACGCTATTGTATATTGTACACACAATTGTATATGGTACACACTGTATTATATATTGTTCACACTTTATTGTATATTGTACACACTATTGTATATAGTACACACTGTATCGTATATAGTACACACTGTATTGTATATAGTACACACTGTATCGTATATAGTACACACTGTATCGTATATAGTACACACTGTATTGTATATAGTACACACTGTATTGTATATTGTACACACTGTATCGTATATAGAACACACTGTATCGTATATAGTACACACTGTATCGTATATAGTACACACTGTATTGTATATTGTTCACACTGTATTGTATATTGTACACTCTGTATTGTATATTGTACACGCTATTGTATATAGTACACACTGTATCGTATATAGTACACAATGTATTGTATATTGTTCACACTGTATTGTATATTGTACACTCTGTATTGTATATTGTACACGCTATTGTATATAGTACACACTGTATCGTATATAGTACACAATGTATTGTATATTGTTCACACTGTATTATATATTGTTCACACTCTATTATATATTGTGCACACTGTATTATATATTGTTCACCCTTTATTGTATATTGGTAAGTGGAGAAGACACGAATGTTATCTCGCAACATTTATTCTGTGAGATTGGGTTATTAATGATGATTATTTAATCACATATTACCAGTTAATTGTGAGTTGATTATACTACTTCAAAGTTAACCAAGTGAGTGTTTCTAGGAGACCAGACGCACACAGTACTCAACCTTGGTGTAAATGTGTGCTTGGCCCTTCAAACCAATACACCACGGCAAGTCCTATAACATCAATATTGGCTTAAATCATAACCTGATTCACAATTCATTAACTAGTACTTAATAGTGTCATTATCAATAGGTTAATCATTTAATAGCGATTCATAAACACAGGCTTACAATGTTGTCAGAATCGTTTAGATTTTGTCACTTATATCTATCAGGATCGAATCGAAGCAAACATTCTTGTGAAGAGGCTTGGCAGAGATATTGCTCCTTTACCAGCGACTTCATCTCTTACCTGTGCAAATAGTGTGTCTTGTAGAAACATTTGTATGTGACATGTCAGACATTAATTGGTTAGATGGGTATGATGTCTTTTACAGCCCCGCAATTGAATTATCAGTATGGTCGACTCTCAGGTGGCGTATGCATATGTATCCAACATTCAGTATGCATATGTATCCAACATTCAGTATGCATATGTATCCAACATTCAGTATGCATATGTATCCAACATTCAGTATGCATATGTATCCAACATTCAGTATGCATTAAAGTAGCAAAACAATTGGTCTCTGTTGACAGAAATATAAATTTGATATGTACGTATATCCCACCGTCGGGTTCGCCATACTGTAACAATAGTAACTCTAAATATAACATTGAAATGCTTGATCAGTTCTTATTAGAAAACCTTTCAGAAATTAGTGATTCTTACACAGTTATTTGTGGTGATATGAATGTACGTACAGGTGAACAAAACAACCAACTTGCTAACTTTGATGATGCTTTTCATAAACACAACATTCCATTGAGTGAGGAGGAAGATCTACCTGTTGATGATCGTAACTCCCATGACAGTGTGATAAACAGATTTGGGCAGATATTGTTAGACATGTGTGATTCATTCCAGCTATTTATTGTTGAGGGCAGGGTATATGGAGTCGCAGAAGAGGAATATACATATTGTGATCAATAGGGATGTAGTGTAAATGATTACTTTATCTGTTCTCCGGATCTTTTTTAATACATAGACATGTTAAACATTGGAGATCGTATAGAGCCCGATCATTTACCATTAGAATTGACATGTAAATTCCTAAACATGAACAACCAAAATGATAAGCCAACATCTGGTTGCTTTAAAGAAAAGATTGTTTGAAATGAATCTCTTTGTGAAACGATTTTAAACAGCCTGCAGGAAAGGATGGTGTCTTGTAATCAACTACTTTTAAGTAAACTAGATTTTAACATAGATGGGGCTATAGATGATTTCGTCCATGTTATCTTAGATTCTGCAGATTGTATGAGGAAAAGCACTAGAATTATGCACTATCAACATACCAAGGCACCATTAAGTGACAAAAGTAAGATTGCAAGACAAGATGCTAAAAAAACATTGAGAACCTTTAGACTTAGACCTACTGACTCTCATAGAAACATCTACTGCAAAAAGAGAAATCACTACAAATCCTGCCGTAGGAAATATATATCTGTCTTGTGTAAATTTAGGCTAAAAAAACTGAGTGATACTATTTTAGAATCCCCCATATCACAGGATGAGATTCTGGACGCTACAGTTGGTACATCTAAAAGGTGGAACAGCTGCTGGTCCTGACCATGTTGTGGTGGAAATGATATAATGTTCCAAATTTGAGATTGTGCCTATTCTTAAAAAATGTTTCACTAGGATGTTTGACAGTGGTATATTCCCCAGAAGCTGGTCTTGTTCGGTAAACAATGTTTCAATAGGATGTTTGACAGTGGTATATTCCCCAGAAGCTGTTCTTGTTCGGTAAACAATGTTTCACTAGGATGTTTGACAGTGGTATATTCCCCAGAAGCTGGTCTTGTTCGGTAAACAATGTTTCAATAGGATGTTTGACAGTGGTATATTCCCCAGAAGCTGGTCTTGTTCGGTAAACAATGTTTCACTAGGATGTTTGACAGTGGTATATTCCCCAGAAGCTGGTCTTGTTCGGTAAACAATGTTTCAATAGGATGTTTGACAGTGGTATATTCCCCAGAAGCTGGTCTTGTTCGGTAAACAATGTTTCACTAGGATGTTTGACAGTGGTATATTCCCCAGAAGCTGGTCTTGTTCGGTAAACAATGTTTCAATAGGATGTTTGACAGTGGTATATTCCCCAGAAGCTGGTCTTGTTCGGTAAACAATGTTTCAATAGGATGTTTGACAGTGGTATATTCCCCAGAAGCTGGTCTTGTTCGGTAAACAATGTTTCACTAGGATGTTTGACAGTGGTATATTCCCCAGAAGCTGGTCTTGTTCGGTAAACAATGTTTCAATAGGATGTTTGACAGTGGTATATTCCCCAGAAGCTGGTCTGGTTCGGTAAGAAAGGAGAGTTTATCAACCCAGACAACTATAGGGGAATATCCTTAATGAGTATTCTTGGAAAGATTTTGAAATCAGTACTTAATTCCAGGATTACGAATTGTGCTGAACCACGAGATAAAATTCCCCAAACTCAAGCTGGTTTTAGAAAAAAGTACTCAATGTCAGATCATGTATTCACATTATATGCAATAATCCAAAAATGTCTATCACGTCGCAAACACAAATTGTATGTAACCATTGTCAATTTTAAAAAAGCTCTTCACTCCGTTGATCGTTATAAACTGTGGTGCTGTTTAAGAACTACTGGCCTTCAGGGGAAAATGTACTCTGTATTAAAAGTGATGTATTCAAATATAATTTTTTAATTTGAAGTTTACACGATATACGGCTTTTCCATTGGACGAGAAGCTGGTCACATGACCGAGAAACTGACGTTCATAAGCGTATGAACGACACAATTTGACGTTCACACGTTCAGCGCGAGGTGTCACTCCATGCCGGGACAACTTTCCAATACATTCCTTGGAAAACCCTTTATGGGAATTCCTTTGCCTTCCGTGTATTCTATTTATATCTTGCTCAAGTAATGTGACAAAAATAACATTAAACTGTGTTATTTAACTACACAACTGTTTTGGTAAACTATCGGTTAGAAAAGTGTTCTACCGTGTTTGCAATAAAAAAAATAATGCATTGATAAATTTGTTTTGTTTTGTGTTATCGCCTGCTGGACGTCAACAATAAAATATGGACGATGAAGAGGTATCAAAGTTTGACAACGGTTCAGTCGCTGTACACTGGATCGATGGTGATGATCTCGATGCCATATTATTGTCACAGGGTCAAGGAAATGAGACAACCGCATGTGAAGTTCCTGTTACGCAAGTTAAAGAAGAACCCGTGGATGACACGCCCACTGAGAGTGACGGGAGATTCCAAAGAATTAGTGAAGAAACACTGGATGACATTGAGGCACAAAGACGTTCAGCATCAACAATAAAAAACACAAAATGGGCTCTGAAGATGCTCAGCGGTGACCATCTTTTATTGCACTTAACATATTCCAATTACTGTAAATGTTGTTATGGATTCGCTCAATAATGTTCACACTCGTCAATAAAACATTCTACACCATGTTACGTACGCCCGATACAGGTCCAACCTGCAAAAGTACAATTCTATGACATTCATAAAATTATATATATATAATCAGATTTAAAAGATGTAATGGCCACATATCTACATCAATCACATTTACATACCTTTCATTTCAGACTGGTCCTCCCAAACACGTAAAATCCAAACAGACTGGGTTAACATATCTCCAGAAGAGCTTGCCACAAGTCTGCGATCCCTTATGCTGAGACTAGATCGAGAACAAAGTCTCAGTCCGATGATGTTTATCACAAAAATACAATGCGGAACATTCGGTCTGCACTCAACAGGCATCTCAGGGTTATCTGGAGAGATATTGACATTGTGAAAGACAAGGCATTCCACAAGGCTAATGATCATGATTTGTTGAATGGTCAACTGAAACAAAATGTCAGAGCTGGCTTGTCAAAACCAACGAAGCACAAGCCGATCATTGACAAGGGAGATATCGTTAAAATCAGAGAATATCTTAATCACGATACCTCAACATGTGTTTTGCAGAAAGTTTGGTTTGACGTAGCCATTCATTATGTCACAAGAGGCCTTGAGTTTCACTCTCAGTTGTCCAGAAGTTCGATCACGTTTAACGTTGACGATGAAGGTAGAGAATGTGCAACTCTTACCATGACGTAGCAGGAAAAACTAACCAGGGGGGTATTGATGATGGTGAAAGCCATGCGGCTGACAAACGCATGTATGCGACAGGCACACATAATTGTCCCATAAGTCTCTAAAATTGCTCATTGAGAAACCCCACCCTGATGCAGTCAGTCTGTTCTGTATTCCAAAATCAAATGCAGTTATTGATGATAAGGGGGCACGGGTGGCCCAGTCGTCTAAGGCGCCGCGATTCGCTGTGCAGAGTTGCGTCCCTTGGGCACGCCAGAATCCTATGATTGTGGGTTCGAATCCCGGTTCGCCCCGATTATGTTTCTAGGTTTGTCAGCACCATACCCGTGCTCGTGGGTTTCACCAAAGTCGTAAACGTCTGAGACCTGCATCACTTCGGGCTTTCCTCCCACATTAAGCTGACACGCCGCGATATAACTAGAATACTGTTAAAAGCGGCGTTAAACCCAACTCACTCACTCACTATTGATGATAATGTGTTGTTCTCTTCTAGACCCCTCTCCCAACGCTAATACGGGAACATAATCCGTACAATATCCCACGAAGCTGGGTTGAGCCGCATCTATACACCACACAGTGTCAGGGCCACTGCTATTCAAGCGTCGAGCGACGCCTCCGTTGAATTACGCCACATCATGTTTATGTCAGGGCACAGGAATGAGGCAAGTGTCAGAAGCTACAACAGATGTTGTACTTCTGACCAACAGCACAAGGTTAGTTCCGTACTTCGGAACATTGGATTTGAGAAAGCCGCCAATCGGCAGCCATCTGCGACGGTTTCAAGGCCGCCGTCAGATGGCGATGATGCACAGCATTCAGCTCGGCATTTGCCCTTGTTTCAAAACCTGTCATCACAGGTGGCCTCTTCATCCGGCAACTTTATGTCCAGAAGTAGTTTTCACAACTGTCATTCAACTTTAATTTCGCTGGTAAACAATAAGTGGGGACACAAATTCCGTCTCGACGTTTTGTTAACTGAAGTTTATGAATTGTTGCAAAGTATTAAACTTTATTAATGACCAAAATATTGTTCTGTTTATTAATTGAACCTGTTTCAATGGAACTACTTTTGTAAGGTGGATGAATATGTAAACAGGAAGTCGCTTGAGGTCGGCCGTGTACTCGCATGAACGTAAAACAATGGTGATAGCTTGTTGCAATAAGAGGTATGTGTACCGTAACACTTCAAAAGAAAAATTATAAGAATTGACCTTCACTTTGTGTGAGTTCATTGGAGTGTGAACCTTCATAGAGTGAGGGCCAAACACTGTATGAACTGTATGAGTGAGTGAGTTATTATTTAACGTCACATGGGCAATATTTCAGCCATATCGTGACGATGTGAACTGTATGAGGGCCAAATACTGTATGAACTGTATGTCGCAAGCTCCGACGTTCATACAGTTTGGCCCTCACTCTATGAAGGTTCATACTCCAATGAACTCACACAAAGTGAAGGTCGATTCTTAAATGAAATCATGTGTATGATGTGGTGACGATGAAACCGATTTCTTTGACTGTCCTGTTGGCTTATGACAAGGATGTATATTGAGCCCAATATTGTTGTCATTTTTTATTGATGAATTATATTATGAAATTATGGCTAAGGGTAAACATGGTATTCAAATGTTCTCAAATGTAATAGATGTAATGCCCAAAGCCAACCAATCATGTTACATGGATCAGAAGTATGGGGATTTCAGCGATATGATTGTCTTGAAAAGCTACATCTTTTAGCCTGTAAAAAATCTTATCCGTTGGTCCATCAACACCCAATTGTTTGGTCTAGGGCGAGTGTGGCAGATACCCGTTATACATCAACTCCAAAATTAGATGCTTGAAATACTGGTTTAATATTCTTGGAATGCATGAATGCCGAATCCCCAAACTTGCTTATAATATGCTTGTACATCTAGTCGACATGGGCAAATTGACAAGGGCATCACATATTAGAAACCTTGTGTTTTCTCATGGCTACGGCTTTGTATGGTTAAACCAAACAGTTGGTGATGTTAAACTCTTTGGAAATCAATTTCGTGAACAATCTATAAATATCTTTCTCCAAGAATGGCATTCCACTCCAGAAAACAGTTCACGGTATGACTTGTATACGACGTTTAAGAGTCTTATTCAACCAGAAAAATACGTATCTACCTTTACACCAAGAACCCTTCGACGTCCATTTATTCAATTGAGGCTCGGATCGTTAGCCTCGTGATAAACGAAGGAAGAAAAATGTCCACTAAAAATGTAATTCAGCTTTAGAAAATTAAATTCATTTTACTTTTGTATGTCCTTATTATTGTGATCTAAGAAACAGGTTTATACCAGAAAGCTATCTGTCAGTTTATCCTGCACCTGTTTTATTTCTCTTCTTTTATCAAAGATGATGCTGTCATTTTAAAACTGGCTATATATATTAAAAATGCACTTTCCCTCAGAAACAAATTGTTACACAGGAGTATATATCCATATATGTAAACTACTTATTTGTCACTCTCTTGTATATGGGCCAAAGGCCTTACATGCAAGTGTACATTTTCGTTTGCCTCTAATCTGTTCACTCGGTTCGTTAACGGCCCCTTATCCTTCTTGCTCTTATCGATTCCGCACTTGTACATATTTTCCAGAACTTGAATTTCATCATTTAGGGATTTGATCTTCGCAGGGTAATGTTTTTGTTCAATTGCACTTTTTCCTGCTGTAGGCCGGTGTCCCCCACCGTGATATCAAGCGGCGTAAAACTATACTCACTCACTCACTTGCTGTAGTATATCTGTCATTTGTGGGGTAACTCTCGCTTTTATATCACTTAACTGTTCTGTGATTGTTCATCTCCATGTCATTGCTGGCACTTCCTAGTTCCAAGCTGGAGATACTGGAGTTGCAGGTTTCGGTTTACAGATCTCAGCCTCACACAACAGAATAAGTGTTCCCCAACAGGGCTTCAACATAGTCTGAAGAGTCCATTAGTGACGTCTAGTTTAGGAGAATTTCATAAAAAATACACCTTAATGCCGCTTAAATGATACCTGTTTACAGTTCCCAGCACGTTGTTTTGCACCTTTGAAACCTGATGTCTGATAAAACTGATGATTCTGTATCTTAGTGCCAGGAGCACTCACAAACCACGCCATTGCCAGGGGACGTAACTCGTAAACAATTTCTAACGACTGACTTGGTTCAAAGGGAGTTACTCTCATTTGCAACATGAAATTCAAAGTCGTAAGGAATGAAAGATTGTGGTGATATTTCGACATCATGTTTTATTTAATAGTGCGCCGTTTTAACGGCAGGATGATGGAACTACTACAGCCCGACAGTGAGAGTTCGCACAATGGACGCACTTGGGGGAGCCCGCTTCTTGTCTGAATGTCTTGTCTGCGAATTTGACATCGATCTTATCAATGATGGAGACAACTTATCACATAATTCTTCCTCTCAGTACGCATCAGATGATATTTGCTTTCAATTTTGACAAATTGCCCTGAACCTTGAAGATAAAGCTATACCAATATACCTCCATGGTCAAAGAAGTCAAAGAAGTTTCTTGTACAAAAGGCCACCAGCCCATATACAAGAAAGAGTTACGCATGTAGATACAATCATATGTGTTACACATTGGGATATACACGTTGTTTGAATAATTCATTTCTTTTGGCTAATGCATGCTTAATATAAAGAGAAAGATTTAATATATTTGATTTGTTCTTTGTCATCAGCATAACTACAAAGGCATTTATCGGTGACATTGCTATTAAATAATCTTTTATATATTTCTTTCGGAGATCATTGTAAAATGGACAGACAAACACAAACTGAATTTCATTTTCTATCTCTAGATTACACAATGGACAAATTCTTTTCATTTTTTTCAATGGACAGTTTTCTTCCTTCATTTACAAATAGGTC